GCCTGATTTCAAAACACCAAGATGGCAGTCGTGAAAACACTCATCTTGAGTCTTCATGGGACTATGGTGAGATCAGTTATGCCTCTTATGATGCTGTCCCAGACTTCAAAGCAGTATAAAACATGTTTGCAGCCTGTAACAACTGTGCATGCGGTTATTTTTCGTTTTAAGATTTCCGTGTTTAAATCATAATAAGATTTATTTTTAATTTTAATTAACTTGAGGTGAGTCAGATTCTTTCATTCAAGTCACTGAATGAATCTCTTGACATGTTTGGGGGTAGGTGCCTTTTGTAGCATTTTAATGCAATTATCTGACAGATTATATGGTCTACACCATAGGTGTCAAACTCTGGCCAAATTTGGCCCGCAACCTAATTACATTTGGCCCGCGAAGCCATACCAAATTACTATTAGAGCTGGCCTACTGGTATTATACAGCTAATATATATTGTTTAGTATTAAGCTTTGCTTGTTCCATATTCAGTTTTTCAGCAAAATGTGTTTGAGTCCATAAGAAAAGATTCATTCTTATATCTGGAGGAATAAATATATTTCAATAAATATTAAAGTTAGCCCGCGACTTTGATCCAGTTTTGAATTTTGGCCCACTGTGTATTTGAGTTTGACACCCCTGGTCTACACTGTTATTAACTATACTAACACTCTGTTCCAGAAGTCTGTGCTGCAAAGAGGCAAAGTGAATACCGCACCTGCAGGAGTAATGGGGGTCATCAGTCGGTTCAGCTGGATGTTCCAGTGCCGTACCTGTTGACTGGCATTCCTCAGCCTCTCCTGAACCTCCTGGAAACAAAAATCATGCAGGCATCTTCATCAGTGTTGTTTTAGAAGAGCACTAAATAAGATGCTGCTCACAAAGCCAGTCAAAACAAACTTGTTCACCTCCAGACGCTGGTGACTTCTTTGGCGAGATGCCTGCAGATCCTGGAGCTCCTGAGAGGCAGAGTTGAGGGCTGAGGGGGTGTCCTCATCGGGACTGCCATCTGACAGCTCCTGTATGGGGCTGAGGTTTTGCATTGTACGTTGCTGCTCCTGGAGGAGCTGGAAATGTTTCCTCTTTTCATCTTCAGCCTGCAGCAACCTGAAGGAGGGGAAAAAGGGAAGAAGCAACTGAAAATGTTAATACTTCTCATGGATATCTCAGATCTCCATCACAAATACACATTTGTTTTTCACAGCTTCAGGGGGTGCACCGTTCCTAGAAATACTGCAATACCAGGTCGATGCGTGGAGTGGACGGAGCAAGCCCCTATTCCATCTCCCTGCTCCAAAAATCAATTTAATATATGGTCCCCGGGTAGGGAACGTATCAGATATTAAACTGATAAGAACAGATACTACACTTGATCTTAGCCAAAAGGCCGAGAAGCGATACCCACATATCGCACGACAGAAACGACTCATTCTGCTTACTGCAACTCTAACTCATGGTTACAATGAAGAACACAGTCGCCTTCTAACAAATGGTAGAGGTCGATGTTTTACTGACGTTTTACCTCCGAAACATCACAATATAACTATGGTCGGCATGTTTCAGTTTTTAAACGGCGCCACATATATGACGACACTTTAGTTTCTGAAACGCCGGTCAGCGCATGCCGGTTAATGAGATTCAAAATCACGTGGTCGCCTGCAGTCCAATCAGCGGTCGTTGAGACGGAGCGTCTTCAATTCTTTTTTATAACTTTCTTGGCGTTATAATTGTTTTCATAATATGATAATTACAAGATGAAAGAATTATAATACCATTAACGTGCGTTGAAATGAAACGACAAAAATCAAATAAACACGTCTATGATTGTTTAAGGTTACACAAAGACACACTTCCGCCCTCAGGTGTACAGACAGAAAACTGCACAAAGTCTACTCTAGACCACAGTAATCTACTGTAGAGTACTGACACTGGATTTGCAGCAGTTTCTAACCATGGAAGTGGACATACAAAACTAGCTTAAATAAATTACAATTATTTCTGCATTTTTGTAACTTTGGTGTGAAATGACTCTTCCCAAAGCCTGACAGGGTAATGGCTTTCCTGGCTATTTCTGAGAAGGGTGAAGTTGGCCAAGTCTGAGAAAACTTGCAGCTGGAGGTTGAAAGTCTTGGTTTATCTTTTCTGCATTTGTATTACTTTAACGAACTAACCCCAGTGCTATTTAAAAAAAAAAACATGACAAACAAACAAAAGAAAAGCGAATACATTTTTTACACTTTAGCTTGTTTAACAGTTAGCAAAACACCCTTAGGTTAGAAAACACACAAAAAACAAACAAACAAAAAAAGTAGGATTAACTATAGGAAAACTATAGAAAACAAGTTTGCAAAAGCAGTTTATGTAAAGTTAACACAATAATCAGTCATTTTACTGACCTGTCACTTAACCTCATTAGTTGTAAAATGTTCCTCCAGATATTCCTCTTTAGTACCACTTGCTTTTTCAGCCTTTCCTTGCCCTTGTTCCAACGTTTTTGAGACTTGTTGCTGCCTTTAAAATCAAAAGGACGTGCTTCCAACTTTTCTTCCTTATACCGTTGCATAACCTGTTTATTTTCCCATTATATCGTGCCACAAGGAAAATGTATTTGTGGGTACGATTACCGCTGAACGGTATGAAAAGGTTTTAGAGTAACACATGCTCCCATCCAGAAATGGACTTGAAGCATCATGAAAATTAATAATAATAATAATAATAATAATAATAATAATAATAATAATGTCATTTTTCATCATTTTTATAAAAAATGTTTGGTTTTTTTCTTTCTTTCTTTGATATTATTTCTGTAAATACTTGTGTTTTCTGATGAATTAACGCCTGTTGATAACTCCCTGTACAATTTTCTCTCTTCTCGATACGCATTTATTGTGAAGGAAACCTACCGGAAGTGATATATCTAGGTTGCTCCGGGAGGCCGAAGCCATGGACTATCAGATAGAAGAAGAGGTGGGTTTGTTCATAGAAACTAGTTGTTGTTGCACGTTTTTCCTGTCACATACTTTGAATTCGCGTGCAGACTACGTTTCCCTGAAAGTGTGGTTAGAAGGCTGTGTCGCCTTGCTAGCTTTAACGGCGCTTTTTTCATTCAACAGGCTGGGTTCGTCGTTGAAGACGTGAGCACAATCATAAAAGAGGTAAAAAAAAAAAAAAAAAGTTGTTGTTTTTTTAAAAACAACCCTTGGCAGTGTTGGTATTTTTAGTTTCACCCCCAAAAAGCTCGAGTTTAGGTTCTGTCGGGCCTTGGCTTTCAAATTTGTGTGTAGGAATGACCGGTTGCTAAGGGCACGGTAGCGGTTGCTAGGCAATGTCTCTAGCTGAACAGTTATACAGTACTCCACTAATTTGCCCTACCATATTCACTCCTTGAGGAAAACCTTTATTAAAAGTCTTAATTTTATTACCTTCTAAAAATAATAATAGCTGTATAAGACTTATTGTAAGCTGTTTGATTACTGTGTTGATTACTTTGTTTTTTTTAATGATTAAAAAAATGTCTGTATAGTCGGTGGAAGCAACCATAGGAGGAAATGCCTACCAGCACAACCGAGTGAACCAGTGGACCACCAGTATAGTGGAGCAGTGCCTCAGTCAGCTCAGCAAGCTGGGAAAGCCTTTCAAATATATTTGTATGTGGACTCCTACCCGTGAAATAACCACCTTGTGTCTCTTGTGGTTTTCAGTGGACGTTAAAAACAATATATATGTTTTTACTGGATTTCTAATTCAGTTTTATCTGGATTTTTTTTAACACATTTGACTTTATTGTATGCATTTTATTTTTATTTCAAATTAGTATTATTTCATGCTGAATTTTATTTTATGGACTTATTTTATACTTCTAAGTGCTATAAAATAATGTGCAATTTATGTTTCTCTGCTACAACAAAGGAATTTTTTTTTAATCTTATTATCTTCTCTTGTTCTGTTAGTAACCTGTGTCATCATGCAGAAAAATGGAGCAGGTATGCAAACAGCCAGCACATGCTTCTGGGACAACTCTACCGATGGTAAAGACAAAAACACTTGTGTATTTCTCATGTAGAATGTGTTCTTTTTTTAAGTTATTGGTTTATCAATGAAAGGATTTGCGTCCCAGACTGTGCGTGTGACTGTTTAGATTGTATTTCAGTACAACCTCAGATGAACAGCAATACAGTGATTTAATAAAAACTAAGCGCAAGTGCAACAGGAGAATGTAAAATACTAAGTACATATTTGCTGCATACATTTATTTATGCTTTAAGAGAGTGTAATAGTATCAATAGTATAATAATCAAATACACTTCATTAACTGATCATCAGCAACTGCAATGATCAGCAAGTGTGATGCCCAAATCTCTGCCCGAGCAGGTTTGGGCAGTTTCGTTATTACAATGTTGAGGAGGACAAATTCCAGTAATACCATGGAGAAGCACATCAGTTGTTCTTCATCTGAACTTGTATTTACATCATTTTAGAAGCTGCTAAGGACCCAGTTATTTTTATCATGTCCTAATACTAAAACTTTTGAACTAAAACAGAACTGAACAACTGATATCTCAGGCTGTTAATCATGTTTTGCACATGATTTGCTAATTAAAAGACAAATTCAGATCTAAATTAAGTTTGACTCCCCTGATGTAGAGGCTTAATCAGGGCTCAGAACAGTAAAGATGAATACAGAGGAACTGATCATCTTAATAACTGATTCATGATTTATATTTTTAGTTTTCTGTGAGAAAATTAACCCCTTATTTTGTTTGAATGTATAAATTTAACTCCGCTACTTACTGATATAATGTAATGTTATACCCAACAGGAAGCTGTACAGTGAGATGGGAGAACAAGTCTGTGTACTGCATTGTCAGTGTATTCGGGCTCGCCATCTGAACCTACATCACCAAACCCAGTGATTGTGTCCACATTTTTGAGAACTCCCGCTGTTTGTTTTGGGATTTTGATATGTTCATCTTGTGTGTTAAGAGAGATTTATTAAAACAGATATGCCTTATGTACATAGTTTTATTTACACAACATGACATGATACTGCTACATGTACAAGCTTTATCTTTTGAAGCAACAAATATTGCAGGTATTTTTTAAACACCAAAAACCACCCAGTTTAACCACCTTAAACTAACAAAAGCTACACTTGCACCAAAAGAATCAGACATGTACACTAATCTTGAAGCACTTACAATTCTTAAGATTGCAGTCCCATTTAGAAGAAAATTGGGTGATGTAGAGACAAGGCACCATCTTGGTTAAAATATATATTTACAGAGAAGAGAAATAAATTTTTTTGGCCAATTTGTCAACTTGACCTCCAGCTTTAGGCAACTGAAAAAAATGGCACAGTTTCCCACATTGTAAGGAAATATGGGCAAAGCTGCTGGGGGAAAAAAGTTTGCTTCAAAACAATCCAACAACTACTGTACATGCTGGGATAAAGAAACATTTAACATGATAGGTCTGTAGTCCATTATACTGCTGTGAGAAAATACATGCAATGTGTCACAAAATACAGTGTCATCACTTTTTTGGCAAGATAAATAAAATTCTTGAAAAGTGCATTTACATATAGCTGCTTTGCCAAAAATAGAAATAGTGAGTGGTACCAGCGGTCGAGTTTAAGGCTCTCTGTATTCAGCGTCTTGAAGACAGCAGACTCCCTGTTTACATGTCGTGTCAGGACAAGCGAGCCACACTGTATCTCATGTGCAGCAGATGCAGCATTACCTGTAAATGTCACTCAGCTCTGACCAGATAAGTGACTTCCCATTGTTCCCAGAGTGGAAAGAAATGGCATTAACACAAGAAAGACAACGGTTGTTTAATACAAGGCTTTTTTTTTTTTTAAAGGAAAAAGAAATTATGAAGAAATGATGATTTCACAGAAACATCCCTGGTTAATATGAGTCCTTTTTCCTGATAATTTTAATCATCAAGTTGAGAAAAAAGGCTGGCAATGGGTAGGTGAGGGTAGGCGGTTTATAGATTAAAACAAAGTGTTTGTTTCCCTTATTTTCAATTAAGAAAAAAAGTCTGAGTGGCTACATCATACCTCACCATCCAAAAGCAGTACATTCAGTAGACATGAACCGTTTTAAAAATATAATTATGTACACTTTGGAGTACATAAATTCATGTGCATCCTTTTTGTACATGTGCACAAGAGTTTCCAACGTGGACACAGTCAGAGATACCTCAGTCACTGTCACTCTCATCCTGGTACTTGGCAGTTGCTTTGATCGCACGCCCGTTTTGTAAAGGCATGTCTTCATAATCACTCCTGAAAAAAAAAACAAGAAAAATATCAGGGGGTCTAGTATGCTTACACTGAGTTTACTCTGCACAATTAAAAAGGATTTGAAAGGCGAGTAGATAAAACACCTACCCGTATATCACTTCGTCGTCTGAGTCATTTAGCATGGAGAAAGCTGGATTATCCTTCAACTGGGAGTCTGGGAAATTCAACATAAAATTTGAATTAAAAAAAAAAAAGCGTGCTGGTATAAATGAGCAACAAAGAAACTTCTATCTAACTCACCATAAAGTGCATTTTTCGAAGGAGAATACACAAATGCTAATGTGTACAAGTAAAAGTTGAGCAGGCCATAGAAGGACAAAAATTCAGCTGGTATGTTTTGAATTAAGGAACAGTGATGATCAAATGGACTAGTACTTATATAGCACTATTTGAACACTCATAGTACTTTCTTTACTACAAGCCTCATTCACACACACATCCAGCATGTTTTTCAAATCAGGGTTCAGTATCTAGCCAAAGGATCCTTCAACATGTAGACTAGAGGACGCGGGAATTGAACCACTGGCCTTAGAGGACAACCCACTCCACCTCATGAACCAATAAATATGCCAAGTTGTGATGAAAATGAGCACAAATGAATACAAGTCAAAGGATATAGTTCTGGTAATGGGTGGACAATTCAGCAACAAAGTTGTCTTGAAGAGCCTTAGCACCAAACCTCAGGTAGAGAATAGCCATGCTGCGGGAGAAAGAGAGGTTAATCAGAAACACAGAAATAGTGAAAACATTTAAAAAAAAGTTTGCTCTTTGTTGAACATACCTTATAATAAGAACCACAAACGTCAGCGCTGTCAAAAACTTGAGCCGGAGATCTGGTGATCGAGAAGAGACAGCTGGTTAACACTTTTACATTAAAAGTTGAAGTCGAATCGAACGCTGAGAGTTGTGGTGTGCTCTGATACCTGAGTAAGGCATGTTCTTAAGTTCAGAACAAGCTCTGACAATCAGGAATATCAAGTATAAGATGTAGAGGGCGACGACAATCAGGAAGAAGACTTTCATACCCTTTAAAAAAATAACAAAGGGCTCAAAATAAATGAAAGTAGACCTGAAGCTATTTCTATGTAATATCTATCCATAAGGACATTAATCAAATTAAAATGAACAAAAATTTATAAACTTTAGTCTTTTAAATGACAAATTACAGATAAAACATTACACACTGGATAAGAAATTTCTTCAGCTTTCACTTTATAAGAAGCTGTTTAAAGAAGTGCTAACGGTAACAGTCTTACCTGAAAGTTCGCTATATCCACTTTGTACTGATAGGTGGGATCTTGGAGTTCATTAACCCTGAAAATTCAGATGGAGTAAAGCTTAGTCTGCTTGTTCGGTATGCATATAAATCACAAGTTCAATGAGCTGGGTTCTGTCTGGAGGTCGTGCTTACGTTTGCCATATGCCCAGAGTAACTGCTGACAGCCACAGAAGACCGACGATAACCAGCTTAGGCAGGTAGAAAGTCAGAAATTTCCTCTCACCCTGCAGAAGCAAAACACCAAGATAAAAGATTCATGTTGGTGTGCTAAAAATGGAAGGAAATCACTGAAGCTGCAGATTAATACTGTACCCACCTGGACTCTGATGCCGTGATAAACACAAAGCCAGAAGAGCAGCAGAGCACACAGGAACAGTGCCTGAAAGAAGGTGTCCAAGGTCCCTGGAAACCAGCTGTTCACCAGGAATGACAGCGGGAAGAAAGGATCTGAACGATGAAAACAAACAAACTGTTGAGTGTGTACACAGAGAGGTGTATGTTTTCTTATAGAAATTATTACCCAAATGTTCTTATTGGATGATTTATGTTTCTGTAATGTGTCAGGTGACGTGTTCACCACGCTTCATATCACCTGTTTGTAAGAGTCAGCTCTCTACAACTTTAAATACACATGCATAAATAAAAAATATATATATAAATGGCAACTAGTCTCTACAACTCAGATATAATGTTTGTAAGTGGAAATGTATTTTAATTTAGTTATATCCATTTTCTCCCACTTATCCAGAGGGGGCACTTTACACCCTCTGTCCAGCCACTCCAACAGCTCTTCTTTCTTTAGCTCCTCTCAAATGACTTAGCTCCTGACCCTATCTCTAAGGAAGAGCCCAGACAATACTCTGAGAATTCTCATGTCCCTCACTTGTACTTGAATACCCACAGCATGTGACCATACATAACCATACATGAGGGTAGGTAGAACGGTAGATCACACTCATCTCTACTGTCACCATAATATACTGCATCACGGCAGACTCATGCACCAATCCACCTATCAATCTCCCACCACCCCTATCTAGCTGAGAGCCACAGCCTCAAGACTTGCAGGTCCTCATCCTCATCCCTGCTACAAACTGCCCCAGTGCAAGGTGGAGGTTGTCACACAATGAAGCCAACAGGACCAGCTCATCCACAAAAAAGTAGAGATAAGATGCAAGACCACTGAAATCGATCCCCTCCTTCCCCTTGGGCACATGTAGAAACGCTGTCTGTCAAAATTATGAACAGAATAGAAGACAAAAGACAGCCCTGGGAAACTCCAGCTTTTGTTTGTTGAGTTGGTGCAATCGGCTCCAGGTGTGTAAGTGACAGGTAAAATGTGTCCTCAAGTGAGAAGAGAAACTTACCATTGTAGAGCAGCAACAAAGGGAGAAGAATAGACATCCACTTCTGCTCTATCCCCCAGTCTCTCATGGAAAATTTCCTCAGTGAGTGAGCAAACATACACTGGCACAAACAGGAAAAAGTACCATTAGTTATCCCATCTGGAAAAAGGTTTTGGTTTTAAGTGCTATAACAGGACAGAATGTGCAGATCAAACTGAATGGAAAAAAAATTATCATGTTCTTACGGTCACCATGAAGGTCAATACCACAAAGACAAACCGGAACCAAATTTCCACTTGTGAGAAGGTGGAATTATATGTTTTCCACTGAAGAGGGAAAAACAGGGGAGCAAGAGAGAGAGGAGTTCAAAAGCATGCGAGTTACTTGAGGCCTTGAGCAATTTAAAAAACAAACAAACAAACAAAAAAAACCTGGGATCTTTTTAACTTACCACAAACTTAACCTTGATGTCATATGTGATATTTTCAAGGCCTTTGAAGCTCACCATAACCTGGTACTGGGTGTAGTTCAGGTAGCCCAGATGCAGTACAATGATCTCATCGCAATTCTGTGAGGTGAGACAAAAAGAAAAAAGCAAAACAACACATGCTCAATAACCATCTGCACTACTTCTTAAATGTGCATCTAAAATTGTCTTCTCTGACACACACACTGCTGTGAGAGCAGGCTGACCGATACTTACAGCAGCCGCGCAGTGCAGCATCCGTGACTTAATGCGCCCGTTGTTGATGTGCATCACGCTGGCATCCTGCATCACTCCCTTCAACTCAACGTTGATCTCAAAGGGCTGCTTGAAATCTCTCACTGACAGCACAAATAACAGTAGTGTTACGTGGTGTTACGCATATTATACTAAAAGAGAAAGCTGTCTCCACCCCAACACAAAACTGTAAAAAGCTCAATCTGTGGTCTCTTACTTTTGCTGTTTTCAGCCTGCATCACACATGTGAGCCACAGCTGCTGATTGTAGGTGGTCAGGGGAGAAGAAACTAGATGAAAGGGCCCAGTCTGAAAACACATAAAGAAAGGCACAATCTGTTTATACATTTATTATTATTATTACTATTATCAGCAAACTTCAATTATTAAAAAATTTCACAAAAGGGGACGCTCAAATGAGAACGCTTTTCTCAGACCAACATAAAACAAAATAAACTGCTACAATCAATGACAATGTAATAAACAAACATAACAATAACATGCTTCGCTAAAGTATCCTTGGGCAAGATATTGAACCCCTAAAACCTTCTGATAAGTTGTGAACTTTCAACGACACGCTGTTAAAGACACAGTTGAACTATGAACATTAAGGTGATGTAATAAAATGTGCTTCTTATCAAGGTGCTGCACTGACATACATTTTTAAAGAGCTCTTCAAATAAAGATTATAACCTATACTAACACAGTAAAGTGAATTTGTAGAGTGAAATCTGATTAATTAATGATAATTAATAATAATAAAGCCTGGTTAATGCAAACCAACTGATGGTTAATCTCAAAGCCTTAAGAAGATCATCTCTGCAGCAAGAAGAGAAATTATGAGTGGAGAGGATGAATCATTTCACTTTATAAGCCATTTAATCCTATCCCTTTAAAATTCCAATTTAAGCGAATCACCAAGTTCTCCGTGACTGCATGAAATAGCACAATAAAAAGACACTAGGGAAAATATCTAAAACTAGATTTTTGCAGTCTATCTTTGGGACATTTAAGTTTCACCACAGCAAAACAATATCAATATTGTTAAGAAGCGTTGTGTAAAAGGAGTCTAATTCTCCAAGCAGTGACTCTCTTATCAACATTTTCCATCAAATTCAAAGTAATGGGCATTTCCTTGACTTTTCAACAACGGTCCTCAAATATTTTAGTGCAGAACTGCCGATGCATATCCTTCTATCTAACAAATGCCTCACCTTAACAGAAACGTTTTTTGCAAGGAACTGGTCACCATTGTGCTCCTGCTCAGCAATAATCCTTGGACCTACAAAATAAAACACTTGTTAAATCAGTGCAACATCCCAGAAACCTAACCTAACCTCAAACAGGAAAAGATAGGCGATGGCTGGTTTATTTTAACGTCTACATTTGAATGATCACTGTCATCATACCTGTTATTCCTATGAAGACTGTGAGGCCGAAGCACATCAGGAAGACCACGAAGACTAGCACAAAATGTCTTTTAGATAGGGTGTACAGCCGCATGGGAGCCAATCTGTCACGGGGAGACAGTCACTGGGGTTATCACACACTAAGTAAGACATCCACACGAAGAAAGTAGCACGAACGAAACCTGGTGGTGAATATTTGCTTAGTGGTTTCGGTGTTAGCTCAGAGGCTGTTCAGAGACGGATATGTCAACAGTGATTAGCTCCCATGCTACTTCATGCTAGCAGTGGTTGATCCCAGCAGAGCCACACAGTGCCTCTAACGCTACTTTTCGTGCTTGTAAGTACTAGTGGAGTACTTCGAGGATCTCGGCTGGACAAATCTTACCCGTACATGTCCATTTCTGTCGGTTAGCGACGTTGGTCAAGTGAAAACCCGTGAAAATTTCGCAGTGAATCCACATCCGCGTATCAACATCACTCCACGACAACTGGAATGCAACGTCATGGAATGGGAGGGGCGGAGTCTCGTGACGGCAGCAGACAGGGGAAAGGGGTCGTGAAAAGGAGGCTTCTGGGAGTGAAGGAGCATCCCATTGCCTCCTTTGTTTATCAGCTCACTAACGTTTAGTACCTTAACACTATGCAAAGCGTTACATACACTAAATTAATTTAGTGTTGTACATTACATCGATATATTTAATCTATGGTAACAGAGCCTTATTTTATTCAGGCGTGTGATTAAATATCTTCAAAGTGACGGCTGATTGTAGTTTCGCGCAGGCGTAGTGGGAACACATCGCATGTCGAGCGTTGACTTCTAACAACCGGAGTGATGAAAATTATATCTCTCACGAATCATACAACCAACCATTTGCTTTTGTACAATTAAATATGGCTTTTAACCGACATTAAAATACATCTAAAGAAATACATTTCTACAGGGTAGCACTTGTTGCCTTTGGTAGAAATCGTACCGCGTTTAAATTGCGGATTTAGCTAACATATGTGCTCTAAGTGTATGTCGGCAAAGGACTCAGCCTTTCCCGTTTTCCCCATTTATTTGAATTTCTCCTGCCTTATGGTTTAGAAAACCACTGGTTCTGTATAACATTTTTTTAAACGAAAAAAAGACGGATGGCTGGCGTCACGACAGAGATGTAAGATATTTCTGATTTAAAACGCAGACGTACACAATGAAAGTAAACCCACCATGCATGTGTGTATATTTAAGCTAGAGGCGCCTACCTATAAAAGCGGTCATCGCGATAAGGTGTCAGGTCCTCTTTGAGCTCATTGTAGGCCTCCCGTATTTTCCTACAGAAATACTTGAGCTCGCTGTACAGAGGGTTCTCCAGGCCGGACGAGTAGTCGGTGTCCATTATTATTATTATTATCACACCCGAAATGGCGATGAGTAAACAATCCGGGGGCCTCAGTAAAAGGCGCAGTCACCTGTCACGTATTGTTACGTGCGTAAATTAAAAGTGCAGCCCAAGCCGTTTTGTTTGTGTGGCTTAAAAAAAAAGGGCTGTTAAAACAAGAAAAGAAGAGCGGGGGGCGGAAACGTAGAGGACAGTCACATGATCAGAGTTCAGCACCATGGACAGAGGCTGTTAACAGGAAGCTACATTGGTCAGTAAGAAGTGTCTGTGGAGCCGTCTTTTAGCTCTAACAACCCCCATAGACCACGGTTGCATAAAATAAATTAGTAAACAATTTATTGCGTCTTAGCGCAATCTGAGTCACACTGATTGACAGGAGGTGCGAGCAATCACTGAAAAATGGGTGGATTCAAACATATAGATAATATAGGGGTTTTTTCCCCTTAACGTAAAGACAAAATAACTAATTTAATTTATTCTACAAACTGGCATTACACCAGCCAAACCATTTAAGCACATACACAGTTTAATAAACTCTAAAAACTGTAAAATGCAACAAAAAAAATAAAAAAAAATAAAAAAAATTATATGACAAAAAATGAGGTAAAAACTGCAAGTACAAATCTAAATACGACAAAACATGAGGTAAATTCTTAATTTTTATGCGCGCTTTCGCATAAATATTAATTACGGTAAATGAAGTGTGCGATTAAACTCAAGGCTTTTTCTTCTATTTTAAAATATTGATAAAGTCTCCTTTAATAAGAGGAATTAAGTTCTTTTTTATCTGTGCTATAGGAAGCTGTGCTTTGGGAACGTCCACAGGTTTATACACATCTCAGTAGCAGAATCTCAGACTGTACATGTATTAAATTAGTCAAAATTACGATGTTCTTTGTCTTTTCTCAGCAGTAAAAGTCATATTAATTGGTACTATCAGTGATGGCTGTACAGGTGTGTCGCACTCGCCACTTTCAAAGTGTCTGCTGTCTGAGATAACAGAACCACCTTGTATATACTGGTTCAGCAGCTGCTTAGATCTGATTTCAACCATGTGGACGTTTGCCTCAGTATTCAATGTTGAGGTCTGGCATGTGTTTGATGGAAGGCTGTGAACACTCACTGTTGTACCTCTTTCGTGAACTCTTCTGCACATATTGATAATTTCAACAAAACCATTTGGATTCATCACTTCGTAATACACAGTGCCACTGATTAGCAGTCCAGTTCTTGTTTAATTTGGCACACTGCAGCCTTTTCTCTATGTTTTCATTTCTTAAGTGTGGCTTCTTGATAGTCACCTTTTCATTGAGACCATTTCTAATGTGGATTCAGTGAACTGATGGATCAACTGAAGAGTCAGCTGCTAGCTCAGGTCCTGGATTTTCTTTCCCATCTTGTAAGGACACGACTTTCAGATACCGTTCATCTGCTGTAGAGTGTTTTTAGGCCACCCACTTCATCAGCTTCCTTAAATGTGTTGAGGACACACCATCCTATGATATATCACGTTTCGGGCTAATAGTACTTTGGAAACCATTTGTGGTAAATTACAGATTCAATAAAGAATTTTTTTTTTCCAGCAGGCTGATAGCAACAAAGTAACTAAAGATAGCAAAGAACAAATGTTAAGTTCTAAGTTGTTTGCTATATAGACACAACACTGGTTCATCCCGCCATTTAGGTTCCTGTTTTGAGCTTGAATGATCCATAGATAAGTGTTAAGTGGCTTATCAACCAAACAAACATCCCTCTGAAAATTGTCAGGTACAAGGACTGGACTGAAAATGAATGAAAAAGCAGCCTATGTCCAAAAAAACCCAACAACAACAACAACAACAATTTGGAAGAACCTTCAGAAACCTGGAGGACTATTGCTTAAGAGCACAAAAAATTACAAGAAAGTCTGGCTCCTTGGAGCTTTGCAGTATATTTATGTATATTTAAGACAAAACCAGTGTTTTTCTGAAACAATGACATTTTATTCAAAAGATGCGTGACATATACAATTATAAAATAATTTACATGGCATGCCTTACTATCCATTCACTATAAACGTTCAGTCACCAAGTCAGACTGACTTTTTTCCCCAAGTTTTTTTTTTTTGTCATTTAAGTCTACAGCTACAAATACAAAGCACAGATCTTTTCTAGAGAAAAGCCAAATTCTATAATATCTACAACAGGTCATCATCAGTTTAAAGTGAACCCTTAACCAAGTCCATTAGCAACGCTGAACGTGAACTCAGTGGCTTACACTTGTGAACTCCTGTGAACGATGAATGAGTGTGTATGTGCAGGAAGTCATGACCACACATGGTTGAAGAGGATAGATTCAACACTGATGGGGCTGGTAGACTGCACAGCTGAATACAGACACACCATGACTTGACATTTACACTCTACATAACTAGTCTACAAACTACAATAAACCGGGCACTTACTCATTCACATCTTTTCCACCAATGCAAACTTCACAAAACATCAAAAAGTCACCTGTTCCCATCCCTCAAACCCAATCCCTGCATTTCCATCTCATAACTTGGGCTATACTTGTAACCCCCCCCCCCCCAACACAAAGAAATGTTTGGGGGAAAAAAACTTCACAATATACAGTATGTATACTTGATCTACATTGAGGAACAATCTCATAAATAAAGATGTACAGACCAGCAACTGAGATGCTAAAGTAAAAAGGTAACAAACTGTGGTCACAAGAAATGACAAAGGTTTTTTTGTTAAAGAAAATATTGCACAACTAACAAAAAAAAAAAAAGTTTTCTTTACGACATGCTCGTTTTCAAGATCAGGAGACCATTTATTTTTCTCCTCAGTCCACATCTCTACAACCCACTTCCCAACAGACATGCTTGTTTTGTTTTTTTCTTTTTTAAATATGAGAAAAAATAAAATAAAAAAATCTAATAATCTCATCAAACCAAGCAGAGCTGGTCCAAAGTAAAGAAGTTACACTTCCCAATAGGCCTGTTTGTTTCAGCTTGAGATTTTCAGAAGTCTATATTTTGGCACAAATATTTGAGGTGGTATGCCATCACACCTTCCCAATTTCACTGAGCACTCAACATTCCCGTTTCTCTCTGTGATTTTTGGCTGTCATCTAATGCACATATTTGCACCGTGAATGAATAATTTACTGCTGCCCATAGTTCTTCCAGCTGGCCTCGCTCTTTGTCCTTAGCTGATCACAAACAAAAGCTTCCCTGCCTCAAACAGCAACAACAACAACAACAACAAAAACCCCAAAACAAAACAGCTTTTCAGATTTCAAAGTCAGCTTACTGAACGGGCAGATCTCGTAGCTTCATTCTCCGTCGGAGACCAGACTTTAGAGTTTCAGTGATGGTAAGATCAACTTAACTGCTCTCTATGGTCCTGGCTGCTTAGTTAAAACAGTACTACAGCTCTCCTCCACATGTGGAATTACACTTACACACAGTGGAGACAAGTGTAAACAGAAATCTGCCACCTAAGTCTCTTTACAACATTGTACATTTGACTGATATGTATTTACATGAGTTCTGAAAAGAGTATGAAATGGCATAAGTGAAATATACAAAAATATTTCATGTACCTTACTAGGATGTTTAGTGTGGTCTTTAAGAGAAGGGACAGCCCCCCCAAAACAACAACAACTACATACTCACTTCACAGAAGTGACATCAGGTGACAAATCACTTCATGCCAGAGCTTAAATTGTTCAGTCTCGGCCTTGGCCACTTCTTTGGCGCCCATGTCACCAGTACAGGATAGTACAGGATACGTCTGTACACTGCTATGACCTGAATTCTCCTGACTACACAGTAATATTCAAACTCAGTCTCCCAAATAAATCAGGTAAGAAAGCTGTGTGAGAATTATGTAACACAACAATGACAATAATGTTAAGATTTATATCTGAATCGATAAACAACATGTACATATAAATTAGAGTAACATTTCTTCTTCCTTCAAAGCAGCACGTGGACTGCAGGTCTTTACCTTTCAGATATTGTAACAGTGGCCCACTTTTCACAACAGTGAAAAGCCTGAACTCTTAGTAGTGTTCCAAAATAATGCATATATCTAAACCTCATTTCCAGCCCAGACAGGCTGCAACAGTAACAAAAGGAAAGGGCAGAGAGCAAAAACAAAAAAAGACCCTCCTACCCTCCACTGTGTTTAGTCTTTTAAGAAAATCCTAAAAGCAAAAGCAGTATAATAAAGTGGTAACTGTTTCACTAAAGGTTTGTACAGCAATGGATTTCAGTGCCCAGTAGTACCTGTGCGCTCTAGGGATAACAAGTTTGATCTCCAGAGTGTGTTTTTCAAGTATTACTGCTGCTTCTTTTGAAAACTGCACCATAGCAATTCCTCTCTCTCTCTCTCTCTCTCTCTCTCTCTCTCTCTCTCTTAACCAATTGGTTATCACATCTATAAGCTTCTCCTAGCTAAAGCAGCATTTATTTGCATGATGATTTACCAAAGCTCAGCTCTTTGGCCCTACATGCACTGCAGGGTGCCGGCAACTGCCGAACGGAGCAGGTCTGACGGCATCCTTCATAAATGCAATCGATGCTTTTGCACCAACACTAGTGGCAGCATTGTGTAGTGCAGCGTGATTGTATTTCTCTCTATGGCCAGGGCTTATTTTAGTCCTCGTCTCCAGAATCCAATCCAAGAGTTTATGATTCTCAAATGAAACAGCTGTACCCCCTTCAACAGACTGCATCTAAAGCCCACAACTCAGGGTAAATAGGGAGGAGACATCTCATTTGAGGCGTTGAGTAACATTGGCCAAAGCTACTGCAAAGGCCTGCACAGCAGAGAAGGGATATTGGAAGTCCAGGATGTAGGCATTGCCATCAATTCTGCCAAACTGCATCACCTACACAGGAAAAACAAAACAAACAAACAAAAAAACGTTCATGCAGGTTGAAAGGAAAAAAGGTTCAATCCTGTTGGAGAAATGCTCTAAATCAATAAATGTTGAATGTGTGTACTTATTATTTCTGCAAGTTATATAAGAAAAGTATCACCTGTCTCCCCTCCAGTTCAATCTGAAAGTTCTTGGCGGACTCCTGGGTGACACGGCCACCGAAGTCCAGCTGGTATACCTGCGTGGCTTCATTCCACAGTGGCTGCTTGTTGGCCATGACATACACAAAGCCCTGGCTGCCAAGCCCTCTGTCCTCCTTCTCATTGGCTTTTCGACACTTGATCTCATCCAGCTCACTGGCAGCC